ATAAATACAATACTAAGTTATTATATAATATTAAAATAATAAAGGTATAATGATATTGTAAAGTAAATAAGATGTGGGTTCCATAGCTTAGTGGTTAAGCTTCTATACCCTTCACAGTTAAAGTTAATGATTCAAGTTTAGCTAAAAACAAAATTAAAAGATTTTAGCTTCTGTAATCAAATAAGAAGCCTGTAATTGAATGTAAAGCTCTGTGATTAAGTCCAAGTGCAATACAATAATGAAAATAGGAATTCTCAGAAGAAGACCCAATTATGGAGTATAGACACTATGTCTAATAAGTGTTTGTTACAAAAGATTACAGTTATAGAAAAATTGTGCATATAAGTTCTTTAGACTAAGGCAGCATCAACATCCTTATACCTCCTAATATAGGCTATACCAACATTTCTATATCCAACTTGTGAGATACTTGCTTGAAAGAATAATTAACAGATTGTGCAAATAAGTCTTAATTAGGATTCAAGAAAAAGATTTGATTGGAAGAATATTTTGAAAATAATCAAGACTGAAATAATAAGAAAAGTGGTGAATATAAGGATGGGCTGTAATAAAGAATTGGTCTAACCAAAAATTAAAAGCACCTTTGGCACAGCCAAATAATCTAATTATAGAAGAAAAAATCTTGGAGGTTAGTATATAACTTCCTTGTGCAATGTAAAAGTACCAAATCAGGTTTTTGGTTATACCTATATGGAAGTCTATAATGAACAAGACTGAGATCAATCAACCAATATAAGATAAGATCTGCAAAATAGTATAGCATTACTAAGATCAGTATAACTTTCTAGACATAATCAGAATTGTTTTGCAGATATTATTGAATAAGCTAGAAGTTTGTAATATATGATAGTATAGTATTATTAGAGTCAGAGAAACTTCCTAGTTATAACCAAAATTGTTTTGTTTGTAAATGCAACAAGTCTTAGTCTCTACTATAGAAGGGAGCATCAGTTAGAAGTTAAATGCAGCATTAAGTTACTATACGACATTAAGACCTAGAACATCTGCAGAAATAGTAGCAGCAGACCTAACTTGAAATACAGATTGGTCAAAAGACTAATGAAGATAATAGATTTGACTTGAGATATGGGTTCATTGCAGATCCTGAACTATTGTTAGAACATCTTAGAAGAATCAATAACAAATATACCAAAGATAGAAAGATCATAAAGATCAAATATACCTGAATAGAACCAATATAGGAGTGGTACAGTAACAAAAAGATAAGAAATATAAAGAACAAGATAATACTATATTAAGTTTAGTAGGTATCCTTGTCTGTGTAATAGTTTAATGGTATGCTCTGACTGCAAGTAGTTGTTAAGATAACTATATACAGACATGTAACAGATATGCACTTAGATGTCATAAGAGTAACTAGGTAAAGTTAGTAGTGCAAAATTAGATAGTATATAGTATTAGTAATAATTAATTCTAAAAATATAACTGTAAATTTGTATTATATCAAATTAAAACTAATAAACCAACTAGCATTGTCACCAAAGTTCAAAAAAAAAAAAAAAATAGTAAAATAAATAGGTTGTTAATTTCCAAGTAATAGGTTTAAAATTTAATTTCTACAGATAACAAATTTTGAAAATTATATTTGTATTATAATAATTGTTTCTTGTCAATTAATTAGATTTATGTATTTGTAATCTTAGATATATTAGGTTGGGACTTACCTAATTTTGAAAACTCAAAACATCTATGCAAAGTATAATATTATACATATATAGAGAAATATAAAAAACTAATGTTGTATAAGACTTTAGTACAAACTTTTTATAAGATTATTGAGTATAAAAAACTAAGAACCTAAGAAGACAGAAGCCTATTTAAAAATTTTAAATAAAGTAATAGTACAAACTTTTGACAGTACTGTTAAACTAATAAAAATCTATAAAACATTTTCATAAGAATTATCAGATAAATCAGATAACAAGATGTGTAAAGAAGCATATAATCAATCAGACTGCTAAAAGAAAAGAATATATAAGTATACTATACTAGACTATTTAAATTAGAAGTCTAAGAAGTCTGTTAGTTTTGAACTGCAATTAGTAGAAGATGATGAAAATGATATCAAAAAAATAGGTATCAGAGTTTGAATAAATTTTATAAAGATAAAAGCAGTTTAATAAATAACTCTAACTGCAAGTATTGGTTTTAACTATAGTGTCAAATCAGGTTAGTAATAAAAAAAAATATAACTTGCTTTAGTAAGTTTATCTTGAGGATAAAAATAGTTTAAAGATTATAATTCTAAGATTAAAATGAAAGAATCTAAGTTAAGTAATCTGGTGAAATTAATATCAAAATTAGATCAGAAAGTTTAAATAAAATATCTAAATAATAATATTAAGTATAGCAACTAATAAAAAACCTTTAAACAGACTTCTTAAATCAGTAATATAAAAAAATTACATATGTAACCAGTTGTATACTTGTCTGTATAGTTTAATATAAACATATGTCTATATAAATATATACCTAATATAAGTATTAATAAAAAGTCAAAAGACCAAAAAAGTCACTTTAATATTGAAAAATATATATTTATAATATTAAGACCTAAGGTATTAGCAAAAATAATAATAACAAACTTGACTTAAAATATAAATTGAACAGAAGATTAATAGTAATAACAAGTCTAATTTGAAATACAAATTTATTGTAGATTCTAAATAATTTTTAAAAAATCTTAAAAAAAATAATAATAAGTATATTAAAGATAAAAGATTATAAGAATCAAGCATATCTGAGTAGACTAATTTTTTTTTTTTTTTTTTTTTTAAGATGACCTTTTTGGTCTTTTGACTTTTATTAATTACTTATTGGTATTGTAGTTCAATGAACCATTATAGAAAAGAGTACAATTGGCTACACATATAACTTTTCTATATTATTTATTTAAGGAGTCCATTTAAAGATTCTTCACCAATTGCTATACCTAATATCTCTGTTTGGATGTTTCACTTTAAACTTTTTGAATCTATAACCTGTATTAACTTATTGGATCATATCCAGGTTCCCAGATCATCATCTCAACCTTAGGACTAATTTATCCTCAAGGAAAACCTTCAGAGCCTTCTGTATCTATTTTTATAACTAATTTAGGTATCACTATAGCAGAATCAATACTTGTAATTAGGACTAATCATTAAACTATTATGTCTTTGTAGAGTTCACTTAGACCCTAATATCTACTTGACAACATAATCCTGATACTTTAGTATACCTCTACCTTTTTACCTGCCTTTTTATCAAACTTTCAATCCAGATAACCTATGTAGAACTATAACCAATCTATCAGTATATCAGGTTAGCCTGATATCCTTTTCTTTCAGTTCATTCTAACAGCCTAATTGATAGTACTACTGAAACTTCTAACTTAGAGGTTCTTGCCTATCTGACTATTACAATTGAGTATTACAACCTTGGTATTCATTTCCTCAGGCTAGCCTTTACAGTAAGCCCATTAAAGATTCAACTACCTCTCTATTCAGGTCTTTCCAAATGAACTTCTTGTTATCTAATTTCAACAGATTTATATAGTCACAAGGACTTATCTAATGTTTGCACTACCTGATTTGTCAATTTGCATTTCTTTGTGTAATACCATACTTACACAGATGCCCTATGACCTACCAGTCATGTTGGTGTGACCACCATTACAGGTATCCTAACCCAATTGTCAGTAACAGTTGCTGTAATACAAATATTACATAAGTGATTATTCAAATTTTTGTCATCGATTAGATTTGAACACCCAACCTACTACTTGGGAGGTTGATAACCTGACCACTTCACTAGGTCACCACACTCCTTTGAGTAAAATAATTTAAAAATAATATAATAACAAAAAGGTAAGAAATATAAAAAACAAAATATTACTAAATATAATTAGATTAAGAGGCAAAAGAAACAAGATCAAATAAAACATGTAAATGAAACACATAAATATGATTATAGAAAACAGTATTACTAACATTAGAATATTATATTAAGTTCAAAGGTATCCTTGTTTGTATAATGATTTAATTATACATCCTGATCACAAATAATTATTATGATAACTGTATGCAAGTATGTAACAAACATAAGTATTACATAGATAACTAAATAAAATCAGTAAAGTAAAAATTAGAATAACTAATATAATATTAGTAATAATTTATCTTGTAAAATGTTACCATAAATTATACTATATAAAAATTTAGAACCTAATAAATCAACTAACAGTTTAAAAAAAAATAAATAATAATAATAATAAAAATAATAATAATAATAATTTAACTTATAATTAAAAATTTTATGTGACAAATTGTGTAATTGTTAAAATATATGTAATCTGATATTTCTTTAATCTTGAATAATTTTTGATCTAGTGGTCCGTTCTTGATGGGATTACCAAAATGTTCGTTTCGATGAGACGATTCCAACGAGCACAAAATCTTTAAAGTCAAATCATGAAATCACGAGATCGTTACTGGATTTTAACGATTTTATGCTCGTTGGAATCGTCTCATCGAAACGAACATTTTGGTAATTACCTCATTTAAAAACGAAACGCTAGATCAAAAGTTATTCAAGATTAAAGAAATATCAGATTACACATCTTTTAGTACAATTCCAAAAATGTGCTCATATGATATCTTTCGATTCATCTTGGTGAGACAAATTAAATGGTATAAGGACTATTCAAGTTAGCCTCGATATTAATTGATCTGCCATTTTATCCATCCCATCATATAGTCTTGTAAAAGTATTAAAAAAATCAACATTAGCATATTAAGCAAAGCTATTCAGAATATACACATAAAAAGTTTAATAAGAAGTAACTTTTTATTAATATATTTTTATTTTTTGTCTTACAAAATATTGAAACCCAATTATTAAAATTTGTAGATTTAACTTTGGTTTGGAACCTATTATATAAAATCCAACCCAAACCAACTTTACTATCCCTAACCAAATTAAATGCCTACAGCCCCACGTGCAATTTTCTCCAATGTTGGAGGCGAAAACCATTCACTCGGAACAATTTCAAGTATCTAAAGAATTAGAATTGTATGAGCATATACTAACAATTTAATAATGTAATTTAGGCCGATCAATTTACCTTTTGAAACTTAATCGCATTTGCTGGTGACGCATCTAATATACGTAACGCACATTGATCAATCAAATTCTCTGTGACAAGTGGACGAACAAAATCTTCTTGGATATAATCTTTCCACAAGATAATGTTTTTCATTAACTGTCAAAAAACGCACGAGTGAATAAATATACAAAAAATTCAAAATTATAAATAATAAAGCACATACTTTGTATCTGCGCCAAAAAAATCTATCCCGTGATACTAAAGCATCTTCGTCCATTTCAGATTTACGTAAACTGAAAGCATCCGGATGCTTAATAGCTAGTACTGCATTATGTAAACTGCTCGATATTGCAGATGTAAAATCCTATCGCGAAAAAAGAGACAAGTATTGATCAAGACATATTTTATATACCATCATAAATAATAAAATTTAATCAATCTACCTTGAATTTTGGAGAGTTTTTATCAACAAATTTTAACATTGATTTGCAGAATTCGATAGCAGATTTTGTTTCTTTGGAAGAATACGGATTCAGAACCTTGGCTAAATGAATAGCCCGTGGAATAATGACTTTTTCAACAATTTTTGTCAAAAGTTTATCGTCATTTTCCGAAATATCTGAAGATGAATTTATATCATTAACCCCAAAAATAGTTTGGTACCATTCCATCTTGTCAAAATCGGAATGTCCCTACAATTAACGTGTTAAAATAAAAAAAAAAAGTTAATATGATATATAATTTATCTACTTAAATGCAATGTTAATTTGACCTACCATAAACGTTTCCCACAGCAACATTTCATATCTCACATAAAATTCAAACACTCCAGGTAAACTTAAGTCCCCATAAGCCTTTGTATAATCTTCAGAAAATTCTCTTTTCCATGTATCAAATTTTGATTTAACCAAATAAATAAATTTGAAATCATCGATAACATCTTCAAATAATTTAGTTTTATGATATGCAATTTCATCTATGAAAGAAATGTTATCGTCAATTCAAATATTTAAAGATATATAACTTATTTCAGAAATGTTTGCTTCAAAAAATATACCTATTTTAGTAGCTATATCTTTTTCAGCAGATCCTCCTAATTCATCATCAGTAGATAATCCTTCTTCCATTTTAACTTCATCTTCCATATCGCGTTGTAACCGTTTAGATCTTCTTTTATCTCTTTGTTGCCGTCGACGTTGACGATCAGTGTTACTAACATTAAAACTTACAGAAGCAGGTGGCTTCACGCGACCGAATTCATCTATTTCTTGTTGTTGCTCGACATATTCATTAAGGTTAAATTTATCTTTGAAAATGAAAATTCATTAAAAAAACACCAGTTAATTTACTTTTAAAAATAAGGTTTTACGCAAATTAATATCAAAACGCACCTTGATAATCATTTGAAAACAACACTAAATCATCCGAGTCATCTTCCATTATTCTTTTCATAATTAACTCGATTCTTTCTTTAAGCGTTGCATTAATATCACTTTCTAATTTTTCAAGGGTGGGAAACTGTAAATTCAATGCAAAAATTCGTTGAGTTAACTTGATCAAAAATAAAAATACAAACAATTCCAATCGCAAACCTAATTAGTAATTTCAAAAGCGACAAAATAGTGGACCTGTAATTCCAACTTTAACAACCTTATCGTCGAGAAATTCGACTAGATTCTCAACGAACGTTTTAAGTTCTTGAAAATACATATATCGTTTCTTGGTAGTTTGCAATTCGTTTTCCATTTGTTCACTTGATTTAACAAGACCGCCAATGTTCTTTTGGATTTGAATAAGTTCAGACTGATGAGTGCTGTGAAGGTACTGTAAGTCATTCATTTTTTGCTCAAGGATTGTCTGGACCTCAGATATTGACTTAATAGATGTGACTGTAGGAACTATGCAAATATTAAAATTAAGTACACAACATTATTCGAGTGGGACGACTTTAAGAATTTTTCTTTATACTTACTTGAGATATTTACAGTCGGTTTCTTTGATTGAGGTTGGTTTGTCGAAGTTTTAAGTGAATGCCCTCCCTTTTTGATTTGTTCCATTTCCCATTGCATTATCTCATCATCTTCATCTTCGAAGTCGCTATTAAATAATTAATATAAATTGTAGTGAAACAACAATGTTTAAATTCAAGTATGAAGATCAAATACTTACACTTCCATCAACATTTCCTTTATTCCTGCTTTTTTGAGACGCTGATGCTCTTTTTCGGCCCTTTTACCAAGAGGTAATTTTTCTTCACCATATTGTCCGAGCTCTAAGATTAAATTAAAATGAATATAGCTACCTAATTTAATAATTGTAGTGAAAAAATCAAATCAACCTTCATCTGCATCACCAATCTCATCATCCTCGCGTACAAGCCTCGATTCTATCTTTTTTTCCGACATAGAATCAACCTTCCGAAAAAATCCGAGGTAAGAAATCTAGATGTTAATAAAATTTGGATAACATAAGATACTCACGTCCGTATTATCATCTAATGGAATATAATCTAAGAAAGCGCTTTTTTGTCGTAACATCTCTCTCTTTTTTTTAGCGGCATGAATGGCACTTGCATCGGGTATTCCCGAAATTTGACCTTTAAAATTACAAAATTTAGGACATTTTAAATGAACATTTAAAGAAAATATAACCGAAATTCGAACATATATACCAGATCCTAAAGTGGAAGGAAATTTTTCTGCAATAACATTATCTTGATCTCGTATTTGAAATGATAATGGCATGACAGGTGTGTTAGCGCGTAATTCTGATAAATGCTCTTTGGTATATGAAGGTGATGATATTGTTGCTTGATCAAAATTAAGAGGGACTGATTCTCTAAATAAAATGTTCATGTCAGCATTAACATATCATTCTGTTATTATAACCAAATAATTTTACTTAACTGATTTAAAAGCAATTGCTTTGATTTGGATTGTGCCAATCTGCGACTTGCAGAACTTTTGGTCACCTTAAAGGTTTCATCCTCTTCCTAATTATTAGATACAAACGCATAAAATAGAAAAGATAATATATTAATTAATGCACAGCTTAAAAAATCTTGATTCTATTGAATTATTACACACCTCTTCATTCCCAAAGCTCAGAACGGATTTATTATTTCTATTTTTTTTTTTTGCTATCTTAGCGACGGGTACCTGCAAGCCTATATGTAAATATAGCATAAGACTTGGTACATGTTAACTTTAAAAGTTTAACAAATTTTACTAACTGTCTTCGTCATCGTTGTCTGTTTTAGTACGAATATTACGATTCTTTCTGTTAATCATTGTTCTTTGGTACAATATGTTCCGTGATTAGTTAGTCAAGATGTATCTGATAACGCATGGTCCGTGCATAACCCGGATTGGCTAAATTTCGAGCGCTAGCGAAAATCGTAGGATTTTTTTCCGAGCACGTGAGGACATACCATAATTCAGCCAATAAAAAATAAAAAATCAAGTACGTACATATTTCACACTCTTTTTCACGATGTTAGCTTCTTCAAATTGGCAAAAGATCAAATATGTATGTTTTCGATTTTTCACCCTCTTATCAGCATTGTTCGGTATAAATAATATGTACATTTAGCAGTTTTCCATGATATCAGTTACTTCAAATTGGCAATAGCTTAAAGATGTATGTTTTCGATTTTCCATTTTCTTCCGTTTATTGCTGATTTCTAAACCTTAGAAAATTGCACATGAGGGTACATTAAATAAGGGTAAACGGAAACGTGAAGAGTCAATACCGGTACATAAATCTATTAAACGTTCAAAATCAAGGTGAAAATACTAAGGGAATCTTTAAGTAATCGTTCAGATAATTGATTTTAATGAAGTGTAATTTTATGCCAATAGTTCTAGAAAAGCTACGTCTAGTGAGGAATCATCTATCAATAAATTATGGTTTGATAATATTAAACAAGGTCTCGATGATTCTTTAAAAAATGAAAAATTAAAAGATCATGCCAAGTATGTACATTTATGCTTTATAATAATTTTGCATCATGGAATTGAATAAATTATCTTTAGAATTGGAAAATATGTATCAATCGACTGCGAAATGGTTGGTGTTGGCCCTGAAGGTGAAAGATCGGTACTTGCACGAGTAACTGTAGTAAATTATCATGGCATAGTTATATTGGATAAATATGTACGTCCAACCGAGTATGTCACAGATTTTAGGACTGACGTTAGCGGAATTACACCGAAGTTACTTGCAAATTGTGAGTTTTCTGAAACGTGTCACATTATTGCAGCCTCACTTTCTAAACAAAATATATATCATTCAATACTTAGCATATGACTTCAAGGATGTTCAGCTAGAAGTGGCGAATATAATAAAAGATCGGATAGTTGTTGGTCATGCTCTTCATCATGATTTTAGGGTAATAATATTATATAAATATTATGTTTATATGGTTGTAAATCGATGTCTTAATTATTTCCCTTTTTAAAGACATTAATGCTAGGTCATCCACGCAAAATGATGCGTGATACTTCGATTTATGAACCGTTTCGCCGAATTGCACGAGGAAAAACGCCTTCGTTGAAACGTTTGGCACAAGAGGAGTTGGGTATGGCTATTCAAGAAGGAAAGCATTCATCGGTAAGTATATGATTTGCGTTTATGTTGAAATTATGTGCTAAAGCTAACAAAATATATGAATAGGTTGAAGATGCACAAGTATGCATGTTATTATATCGTAAGCATAAAGGCCCATGGGAACAAATGATGCGAACGAGATTTAAAATTGGTTCGAAAAAAAGGACGCAAATAAAAAAATAAATAACATTTCCGCATAAGGCCACACAAATTTAATATCTTGATTTTCATAACATGAAACTTTTAAACAAAGCCTGCCGGTCGGCTTTTTTTTTTTTACAGCTGTTTCATTGCAGCCGTTTTCGTAAATCTGGCAAAAATTGACCGACTGAATATTTGCCGATTCGATAAGTTTTGATAAAGTTTATCACTACTGAATCAAAACTTATCGAATCAGCAAATATTCGGCTGGTCAATTTTTGCCAGATTCCAAAATTTATGAAAACGGCGTAATTTTGGGACATCTGAACATAAGTAAAAATTGACCAAATGATTATTTGTTGGTAAGTTTTTAATTTCGGCAGTGATAAACTTTTGGTATAGTACAAGACATCTAATCACATCATAGCACTGAATTTTGAAATATATATATATATATAGCACTGAATTATAATAACGCTAAGATTTTAAAAAAGGAAGAGAATAAAAAAAAAAGAAATATATATATATATAAATTCAATTAAAACTTACAAGTGTTGAATTTTTAAATTTATTAATAAAATAAAATGTTGAATTTTTTAATTTTATTATATAGGCTGTATTGTCACTTCTGATACATCACATTTTATAAAATAAATTAAAAAGCTTATTAATAATATTAAATCTAATAACTGTTATTTTAAACTATACTTTTAGGATTATATATACTATAATATTAAGGTTTAAAAATAAATTTAGGAAAATTCTATTTTTACCCGGGTAAGCGTCACCCACCAGCCACAGTGGCATATAAAGATCGTCCGATCACGTGACTCGCATTTAACCGTAACCAATAAAATTTCGTTATATGAATAAAAGTGCTAACCACCTAAATCTTGTTCATAGTATATCAATATATGTATGTACGTACATACATACGTATATAACTGCCACTTTGCTATGTATCGTCTTGGTCATGGTCACATGACCACTGACATTCTCATGTGCAAAAACTTTTTATTTTGTATCACAACTATATAAATTTTTTATGAAAAAACCTGGATACTTTAGTTAGTAATGTGTGGTACTTCCAATTTGTAAAGTTTTATGCTTTGTATAATGTGATTGGAGTATAAAAGTATATGCAAGTTTATATGCAAGTTTATCAGATGTTTATAATTTGCATAATCAAAACAAAATAAAAATGCAGAAGTAAAAAAAAAAGTGTTGGTTTTTTTTTTTGCAAGTTAAAAACAATTAGTAATAAAAAAGTCAATGATATTTTTACATTTTATGTATTATATTTGACCAAATGAATATTATTGTTTTTATGTAATGGTGTTCTTTAAGTTAGATAAAGTTATAATTACTGTTATTATGATATCATATATTAATATGTTTGGTGATTTTTTATTTTCATAATGAATTCTTTTCTTAATAAAAATACTAATTTTTGCATTGAACTTGACACTGAATATGATATTAGTCTTGATAATAGTTATTATATTAATGTTAATAAAATAATTTAACAAATATTTTTAAACAGTAATTATCTATCAATAGTAGTTAGGCAGACTTTTGCTACTTAGAATGATGTTATACAACATACTAATGTTTATGCTATTGAACAAGGGTTTGCAACAAGACTTGACTGTACAGAGAAAAACTTGAGTATCATTATTAGAGCAGAAATTGTTAGTTGTCATACTGGTATCGCAAATAGTAGAAGCACTAGATTATGAAATACAAGAAGTATTACTATTGGTTACTTATATAAAATAATCATTCATTGGTTAAAAGCAGAATATTATATAAAATATGTTAACCTTGAGCATAATCACCTGATGGATACTGCTGTGGCTGTTTTTGATTCTAGTTATTGCAAATTAAGCAATAGTAAAAATAATCAAATGCTAATGCTTTATAATAGTAGAATATCAGTATTAATAATTATTAAAATATTAAATGAAGAGTATAAGAGATACATTCATAATAAGGATATGTATAATTCATTAAATCATCAGTCTTATAATCATGTTAAAGGTTTATCTAAAATATCACAACTCTTAAGTAATTTATATAATGAAACTGAATATTTAGTTACTTATATAGTTAAAAACAACAAACTTTACTGCCTATTTTTTTCTATATATTCTGCATTATAAGATTTGAAAATTACTTGAAGATTGTGCTAATGGATTCTACATATAAGACCAATCATTTTGGAATGTTGCTCTTTTTTTTTTTTTTTTTTTTTAAATATTAAGGTGAATACTTGCGACCTAGGATTTTATTGATAGTACATTTAGCTAATGGTTGCATTACAACCACAGGGGGTAATCATGGAAAGAGTGTACAACTAGCCATTCGTACAACTTTAGTCATTGTCTAATTTAAGTAGTCCGCCCGAAGGTTCTATACTAGCTGCCATACCTGGAACCCAC